CAGTGTGCGAGTACAGTTACGAGATCGCGAAATCTGGAAATGTTTAATATGAGGTCTCTATCTCCTCTGGCTCAGAAGTTATGGCGAACGTTCGAAAAAGCTATTTTAGCATATAGGTCAAAGTAAAGGTCAATGACTTTGCTGTCATTTGAAAGAGCTTATTTAGTGGAGTATGCATACTAAATATAAAGTCTATCTCTTACGGTTCAAAAGTTTTTGCTAAGGTTAAAGTTGACAACAAAGAGACATACAGACACACAAATAAACAGACAAACAGACATACAGGCCAAAAACAATATACACCATGGATATATCGATCCGGGTACATAAAAATAAAATTGTTTAAAAAGTAAGTATGATTTCTTAAATCAAACTGGTATTATTTCTTCAAAATGTACAATGGTATAAAAGCATTCATTTAGTGTCTTATTTAATATTGAAATCTTTATATGAATGCATCAATTTTACCTTCTGTTTTCTGGCTGATAGTGGAATAAACATGAAAAAAAGTACTCGTGATGTGTTTTTTATTAAATGTAATTGTACCTGAAGGAGATAGCATTGCATTAAATGCAGAAACTTTACCTGCACTAACAATATTGTAAAAAAGCAGCAGAATCATTGAGATTTTGCAACATTAATGTTGTAATGCTTGAAAATCAAATTCAATACATAATATTAATCATTCAAAGCCAAACAGAATTTTAGAACATTGTTTTGGGTGATCACAAGTTTTGTATTTGATATCAAAATATTGATAAACCATTATCTTTAAAGTAAATATACAACCTATACATCCAATTTTTGTGTCACAATCATTTTACATTTTTTCTGGCACTCCTTCCCATAACCAGGATACGGACATGGAATCTCACAATGAAGACCGATTTTCCCATCTTCACACTCTATTAACCATTAAAAAGGATTATAAACAAACCTACAAATGAATTTTAAAAACATATGTCTTTTATACAAAACGTAAAAACAAAGCAATGTATAAACAACTAGACTAGTACCTTTACTACGGAAGCCCAATAGTGCAAACCAAAAATATATAAAGAAAAACGGAATTAATATATAAAGGAAAACCAAAAATATATAAAGGAAAACCAAAAATATATAAAGGGAAACCAAAAATATATAAAGAAAAACCAAAAATATATAAAGAAAAACGGAATTAATATATTAAAAAAAACGGAATTAATATAAAGAAAAACGGAATTAATATATAAAGAAAAACGGAATTAATATATAAAGAAAAACGAAATTAATATATAAAGAAAAACGAAATTAATATATAAAGAAAAACGGAATTAATATATAAAGAAAAACGAAATTAATTTATAAAGAAAACGGAATTAATATATAAAGAAAAACAGAATTGATATATAAAGCAAAACGAAATTATTTAATAAAGATAAACGAAATTATTAAATAAAAAGAAGAGTGAGGGAGAAAGAGAAAACATCAACTGAAACAAATACTTCAATCTAATGTTTGAAGTAAATTGTCAATAATTGTTCAGCGGTATACGTAATTTGTTGATGTGTAGCATTATGCATAGAGGATCATGAGGGTGGCTGTTTCTGCTTGATTGAAATCAATGACATCCAATTCAAATCGCTTGAATCGCTGAAAGGTCAAGACCTTGCTTATCGTATTAAAAAATTCCCTCCGGAATAAGCCTAGCGCCCCATCTGTATATTCATAAATCACGGGTTGTTGAAACAAAAACGTGGATGATTTGATTACTTCGTGACTATTTTTACTTCTACATTCCCCTCATTTCTAAGGACGTCGCTAAAATGGCATTTTGTTCTTCTTGTGGACATTTCTAAAATTCTTCGTCCAGCATGTCCCTGTCTGGCGCTGAAGACACACTCACTGTGGAATGAACCACGCGTGACTGGAACCCTTATCCTCGCGTTTTGTTTTGTTATAATTATCAACGATGCTATCTTAACTTAATAATTTCGTTTTTAGCTCACCTGAGCTGAAAGCTCAAGTGAGCTTTTCTGATCACATTTTGTCCGTCGTCTGTCTGTCCGTCTGTAAACTTTTCACGTTTTCGACTTCTTCTCATGAACCGCTGGGCCAGGTTCAACCAAACTTGCCACAAAGCATCCTTAAGTAAAGAGGATTCAAGTTTCTTCAAATGAAGGGCCACGCCCTCATTCAAGGGGAGATAATAGGGAATTAATGAAAATTTGAAGGTATGTTTTAAAACTCTTCTCAAGAACCACTGTGTCAGGAAAGATGAAACTTATGTGGAAACATCCTCAGGTAGTGTAGATTTAAGTTTGTTCAAATCATGACCCCCGGGGTAGGGCGGGGCCAAAATGGCCGACCAAAGTTTTACATAGAAATATATGGGAAAATTCTTTAAAAATCTTCTTCTCAAGAATTGCAAAGACATAAATGTTCATATTTATATTGAAGCATCCTCAGGTAGTGGAGATTCAAGTTTGTTCAAATCATGACCCCTGGGGGTAGGGCGGGACCACAATGGCTGACCAAAGTTTTACATAGAAATATACAGGAACATTCTTTAAAAATCTTCTCAAGAATAGCAAAGTTATAATTGATCATATTTATATGGAAGCATCTTCAGGTAGTGTAGATTTAAGTTTGTTCAAATCATGCCCCCCCCCCCCCCCGGGGTAGGGCGGGGCCACAATGGCCGACCAAAGTTTTACATAGAAATATATAGGAATTTTTTTTAAAAAAATCTTTTTCTTATGAATTGCAAAGCCATAATTGGTCATATTTATATGAAAGCATCCTCAGCTTGTGCAGTCTCAGCTGGTTTGTGCAAATCATGACCCTGGGATAGGGGGGGGGGGGGGCGAGCCACAATGACCAATAAAGTTTTACATAGACATATATAGGAACATTCTTTTAAAATTTATGTTCTAAATAATACCAAAGACATGATTGGTCATTGGATTGCTTTTGGATTTAAACTTTTTAATAATAAACCAATTTCTATACTTTTTCCTAGCCACAGTGCTCAGGTGAGCGATTGGGCCCATGGGCCTCTTGTTCTTTATTTAATGATTTTGTTTTTCTTTATTTAATAATTTCGTTTTTCTTCATTTAATAATTTCGTTTTTCCTTTATTTAATAATTTCGTTTTTTCTTTATTTAATAATTTCGTTTTTCCTTTATTTAATAATTTCGTTTTTTCTTTATTTAATAATTTCGTTTTTTCTTTATTTATTTCTGGTTTGCACTATTGGGCTTTGTAGAAGCCCATTAGAGCTCAGCTAGAAGGTCACGACCTTGCGCATCGTATTACTGGATTCCCACGAACTAAACCTGGCGTCCGAATCTGTGTACCCATAAATCTTAGATTGTTGAAACTATAAGAAAATATACATTTATGAACATAAAACATTTATGGATACTGTTTTCATATTTACCGCCATGGTTTATAAATATAATACTGTTTCCTGTAGTTGCGCGTGCGCATCCTGATAGCGTCACTCGCCATTTTACATTCGTTGTTTACCTATTCATGTGAAAATTTTTAACTATTTCTACTATATTTGGATGGACGCATTGCACCTGAGATCATACGAATAACATCCTACAACTTCTGGAGACTTGGTACAACGCAGCTGAGGTAACTTAACCCCTTCGTTTGCAGTTATTTGACTTTTCTTTATTTCATACAAATCTGCGACGATACTGTCATAGGCCAGAGCGTAGGCCCATACGATAGGTAGATTCCTTCACTGCTTCTGCGACACTTTCTGTTGGACGAAGGGTCCTTTCCACTAAAGGCGAGTCAAATCAAATCAGAGATTAGCTTGAGTTATAAAAAAAAAAAGAAAAAAAAAAAACAACCGGACACTGGATTAGTTTTAGGGTTTGTGATTGTCCATAACATTCCATAGGTCACGTGACAGAAATTTAGAAATCGGACCATGACCATTTTATTCATTGGTGACTCTCATGTGAAGAGATTCAGTGCATACATTGGCAACAGAAAACCCTCATCGGAGTTATTTGACATTGAAAACCTCCCACAGGTAAAATTTTTCGGAATCAGCGGGGGGGCGGTTAAGAATCCGCGCCATCTGCAGTCATTATCAGCAGTAGCCCAACAGTATCGACCTACATGTCTCATTGTCCACCTAGGTGGAAATGACTTAGATCGCAGCGAAGATACAGTAGATCTGTTAATTCACGGACTCGTGGCCTTCTTGACTCAAATCCGCACACAATTCAATATTAACAAAATAGTTGTGATGAGATTGATACCTCGAGAGAGGACAAGACATATTGACCCACAGGAGTACAACGCCCGTGTGCTACGCGCCAACTCAACCCTCAAAACTCAGTGCCAACAAGTTGGCCTCTCTTATTGGAGGATGAAAGGTTTTACAAACACCAGAGACAATATTTTCTGTGATGGCGTGCATCTTAATTCTTTAGGGATGAGAAAATATTTCAGACAATTGAGAGGAATTCTCCTGTCCCTGCAGCAATAAACACAAATTATCTTTGCTAGCCATGATGACAGGTGCTTCTGGCTAAGCTAACAATATAAATAGATATTATTTATATATAGATACGCTATCAGTTCAGTCTGCAATGTTTTAAATTATTTTTTTTTACTATGTTTCTACGACATGTATTATTACTTGAATTTTTACTCTCATAACCATATTTTAGGATAACACAAATCACAAGTATTATATTATTAATTTAAGGATTTACTTTGTTGACACAAACAGTTGGTAATTGTTCTTTTAATTATTATGTTTTCTTATTTCAGCAACCATTTTACCTGCATCTCTATATTTTCATATTCGATTACAGCGATTAACCATATCCATTCAGGTATATATAAATGGTTTCCTTTATCTCAAACAACGGGATATTTATGGGATGAGTGGGTCACCCAGTTATCTCTTATTGAACCAAGCATATGAATGTAGAATAAGCTGGGTCGGTTCACTCTTCTACAATTTGTGGATGTTGCATGTCCACAACTTAATGCAATTTACGTTAGCTCTGGCTATATGATGTTTGCAGTACACAATGGTCTGCAATTGAGTCACCCTTTGTAGTATATGACTACACTAGCACTGGCTATTAATAATGGTTCATGGCAATTGAAGATTGATATTTAGCACTAATTTGACAAGTACGTTGATGCTTAGGGTTCTAGGTGAAGTTATTATTTTATTTAACACGTTTTAGCTCTGGCTATTTTTCGAGGGTGACTCTTAGTAGCTCTGGCTACGTATTATAGCAATGGCTATATTTTCTTGAATTAGTAGCTACGGCTACTAGTACTTATTTTCATACAATTATAAGGCAAGGAAATTATTGTACACTTCCATTAAACACAGGTAAATCACAGGTATTCCATATTAACTTTGTGCCCTTAAACAACTATGGTTGTGGTGCAGGTTTATGGCATTGTGTCAATGGTGGTGTGCAATTTTATTTCCTTTAAATTTAGTCTTTTTTATTGCTGATTTATTTTGTTTATTGCCAACGTCATCGTTTTCAGGATTATGGCTTCTCGTCCAAAGAGGCGTAGGACCAAACCCTTCTCAACCGATAACCGATCTACCCAGCCAGATAACGATTCATCCCAACTGAAAAACCTAGTTACAGAATGTATGGCTGCAGCGTTACCCATTATTGAAAAGACTGTAAAAGAATGCATGTCCAAATTAAACACCCCGCAACCAGCAGCCAACCAACAGCCAGCAACGACTGGACAGCTGGAAGACAGATCGGATGAAGTCTCAAATACTTTAACGTTCAGTACCATTGTAAATAATCAAGACACAACCACAGGTACTAATGCCTCAATTACTCAAAATAATTTGCAAGAGAATACTTCCCAGGTTGGAATTTCAAAACCTGTGGGACTGGGGGTGGACACGAAAATTAAAACCAAAATATTCTCAAATGAATACATAAAACTAGCCACCTTAATTCCAAAGTCAAGTTTTGCGCAAGAGCCAAAATTCAAGTCAGTGGAAAAAGATGGACGATTGATTTTTATTAAATCTAACGACACCTCCCAAATAAAAACCATAGCGCAGTGGATGGAGGCCTTTCATGTCTTTGTGGCAATCTAATGCGTAAAATACCCAGACGAGGTTGGGCAGCTCATGACATACGCACAAATCGTTCAGGGCATAGCGAAGTCCTGTGGAGATGAAGCTGCCATAAGTTACGACGAGAAATTCAGACAATGGCGTCAAGTTGCCCCACGAGCTTGTCCTTGGGATACTAAAAACTCTGAACTTTTTCACGATGCAATGGTTCAAGGGTTTGAAGCAAAAACCAAACTAAAGAAGCAGCCCTTTCGTGCAACTCCCTCAAAGCAGAAATACTGCTTCACGTTTAATAATACAGGCTCCTGTAACAGAGGAAACTCTTGTCCATATGCACACATTTGCCAATACTGCTCTAATAAACATTCAAGGCTCCACTGCACAAAATATAAGCAAGGCCAACACAATGCAGCAAATGCAAAACCCACCAATAATGACCAGCGCAAGAAACCCTCAACTCTCACCAAAAAAGATTGATGAATCTGTTGTTACCCCCATAAACGCTGACAAATTCGCTGAATATCTTCAGGACTATGACCCTGCTCTATCAAACTTTTTAATCGAAGGGTTTAAATCAGGTTTTAGAATTCCATACCAAGGCCCTCGTGAGTTCCGACTTTCTAAAAATTTAGCTTCTTTGCAGGGAAATGAAGGTGTTTTGTGGCAAAAGTTAAATAATGAGATAGAGTTGGGTAGAGTAGCTGGTCCATTTCCCTCCCCCCCATTTCCTAATCTGCAAGTTTCACCTCTTGGCCTGGTTCCTAAAAAGAACCCTGGTGAATTTAGACTGATTCACCATTTGTCTTATCCCGATGGGTTCTCAATCAACGACCACATTCCACATGAATTTTGCACCGTGCAATACCAAACCATAGATCATGCTATCTCAATCATTAGGGATATTGGGGTGGGGGCACTTTTAGCTAAAACTGACTTAGAAAACGCTTATAAACAAGTACCAGTTCACCCTAGTGACTTTGAACTGTTAGGTTTTAGTATTTATGATCAATTTTATTTTGATAAAACTCTCCCCTTCGGTCTTAGTTACTCTTGCAATCTCTTTGAGAAATTCAGTTCAGCCTTGCAATGGATCCTTCATACAAAATTCGACGTTGCACACTGTGTGCACATTCTTGATGACTTTCTCTTTATTGGTTACCCAAACTCACCAGGGTGTCATAATGCACTTCAGGCATTCCACACTCTTGCAAATGACATCAACCTACCAATTAAGTCTGAGAAAACAGTACTGCCGTGTACTACACTGACCTTTATGGGCTTAGAAATAGATTCCATCAAATTTGAGATAAGACTGCCAGAAGACAAATTACATCGCCTGAAAGATACAATATGTATTTTTAAAAGGAAGCGTACTGCTACCCTACACGAGTTACAGTCCCTCATTGGCCTGTTAAATTTCGCATGCTCAGTAGTGCCACCTGGAAGAACATTCCTTCGTAGAATCATTGACCTAACTAAGGGTATTAAAAAGTCCTATCACCACCGCAGGTTAAATGCTGAGGCTAGGGCAGACCTACATGCTTGGTCTATTTTCCTAGAACATTTTAATGGTAAAGCACTTTTCCATTCTGGGGAAATATACACTTCCAATTCCCTACATCTTTATACAGACGCTAGCAATTTAGGATTTGGGTGTACTTTTGACAGGAAATGGTTTTACGGCCCCTTTCAGCAACAGTGGCTAGAATACCATATTTCAGTAAGAGAATTTTTTCCCATTGTCCTCGCAATGGAAATGTGGGGTGAGGGGCTCTCAAACACATCAGTTGTATTACACTCAGACAACAGTGCGGTGGTTCATGTTATAAACAAAACCTCCTCCAAGGATCCCAATTTGATGAAATTAATGAGACGTCTTATGGTAGCATCTTTAAAATTCAACATTCATTTCCATGCTGAACATATCCCAGGTCTTCATAACATTGCACCTGATCTTCTCTCTCGCTTGCAGATACAAAGATTCAAGGAACTCTTTCCCAACATGGATATGGAAGAAACGATGGTTCCGCACACGCTCCTGCACCTCTGACCAGAACAGCAGACTTTCTTATTAGGAACTCCCTCTCAGAAGACTCTTTGTCATCCTATAAGAACACATTTGCAACTTACAAACGTTTCATTCATACCCATATTGATAGTAATGCAGATCCCCTGCCACCATCGCTTTCTCATTTGTTACTTTATATTGCACATTGCTACCAGTTAGGCTTGGCTGCTTCAACAACCCGCACACACATAGCTGCACTAAGCTTTACCTTTCAACTCGGAGGCTATCAAGACCTTACACAAAGCTTTCTGATCAAAAAACAATTACAAGGATTTAGCAAGGTTAAGCCATCTATTGACAATAGATTACCTATTACACCAGACATTTTGTCAAAAGTTGTAGCTGCTCTACCATCCATAACAACTTGTGCCTTTAACAGCACACTACTTCACGCTATGTTTGTTCTTGCATTTTGTGCCTTCCTAAGGGTGGGAGAAATCACAAAAACAGCAGGCGCCAAGCAGCACTATCTGTTAGCTGAGCATGTTACTTTCCAAAAAGATTCTGTTACAGGCAATTCCATAAACCTTACAATCCCTCAATTCAAGCATTCTAATCAGTCTACCACTTTGCATATTCAGCAAAACATGGCCTACCCATTGTTATGCCCCTTCTTAGTTCTACAAGCTTTCATGAACATTAGAGGTCACAGTTCACCTTGTTTTCATTCATGGATGGTTCCCCAGTTTCTCGTCAGTTTTTTACTGAACACTTAAAGTTGTCCCTGACATTCTGTGGTCTAGATATAAACAAGTACCAATCGCATAGTTTTCGGATTGGAGCAGCCACGACAGCGGCAGCCTCGGGTTCATCGGACATTCAAATACAGAATATGGGCCGATGGAAATCTTCAGCATTTAAGAAATACATCAGAATACCGACCATGAAAATCTGAGGTGGAACAGTCCTATGCCAAACACAATCCCTATTCTGAACAGCTTCGGTATGAACCTTGAAGTCAGGGGCTTCAGGTTCAACACGTGAATACTTTTTAGACACTGGGCGTTTTCCGAATCTTGAAGTCAGGGGCTTCAGGTTCAACATTGCGAATGATATACCGGACACTGCGGGTATTGAACCTGAAGGACAGGGGCCTTAGGTTCAACGATGGGAATTTTCACTCAAATATCAAGCACAATTTAAACCTTGAAGGCAGAGGCTTCAGGTTTATTTCGTTTAAGATGGAACTTTAGATCGAACCGTGGAGACAGGGGCTCCCGGTTTAATGATCATTGCGTAGTTTATTGGTTGTGTTTATGTACAAATTAAAGTTACTCTTACAGTCCCAGTACTTTTTTGCCGGGTGGTGGATGGGGCATATCAAACTGTAGAAACCACAAGTTTGATAGGTGGCGGAAGATACCCCATCTTTGACACTTTTTGTATATACAATTTGCCAAATTATCTTGTCTCATTACTTTGATTTATTCTAGTCTAAATACTATGTGCATGACTTTTTTATATTCTATTTTTAGGGATGTGGCATTTTTGTAATGTTTAACAAGCCACAACTCCCTCTATTGAATTATGGTATTGTGCTTTTAGTTTGTTGTATTTTTACTGTTTCATATGTTTTATTTGCATAATACTCTGTCATTTATTTGTTAAATAAATGACCATTCCAATTCCTCAACTATTAGTTGTGTTTTCTTGTGTCAAACTGAGCACCACCCTAGCAGTTATCCATAAATATACATTTATGAACATAAAACATTTATGGATACTGTTTTCATATTTACCGCCATGGTTTATAAATATAATACTGTTTCCTGTAGTTGCGCGTGCGCATCCTGATAGCGTCACTCGCCATTTTTCATTCTTTGTTTACATATTCCTGTGAAAGTTTTTACCACCTCCCACCCCACCTCCTTTTTCTAGGATTATCGTATTTTTAATATCTGGACTAGTCAACGTCCCCCTTGGTGCGAGGTGGAAGATACCCCATCTTTGACACTTTTTGTATATACAATTTGCCAAATTATCTTGTCTCATTACTTTGATTTATTCTAGTCTAAATACTATGTGTATGACTTTTTTATATTCTATTTTTAGGGATGTGGCATTTTTGTAATGTTTAACAAGCCACAACTCCCTCTATTGAATTATGGTATTGTGCTTTTAGTTTGTTGTATTTTTACTGTTTCATATGTTTTATTTGCATAATACTCTGTCATTTATTTGTTAAATAAATGACCATTCCAATTCCTCAACTATTAGTTGTGTTTTCTTGTGTCAAACTGAGCACCACCCTAGCAGTTATCCATAAAATGATTTCATTACTTTGTGGGATTTGTTATTTACAAGTGTGTGCATTGTCACCGACTTATAAATACACAAATTGAGAGTTTGTCATTTAAAATATATGAGAGCAAGAACTATAGTACCACTGACTCATAAATAGTACATATTGAGAGTTGGACATTTATAATATGTGAGAGCAAGTACTTAGTAGCCAGTACAGCACCTCTAATTATGCGTTGATAAGATCAAAGAATCAACTGAAGGTGATTTGCTTTATTTCTAATATAGTAAACAATCATAAAAATCTACTTGTAACCACTTTGACTTGTTTTACTTTTTGCACCTGTTCTCTTTAAACAGTTTTTTTTAAAAATGTCAAACAAACCCAAGTCCGATCGATAACGTATTATTTTACAACATTTTTAATGAATATATTGTGCGATAGTTGAATAATGGATAAGGGATTCCTGAATGTTAAATGTTGTAAACAGCAGAATCTTAAAGTTCATGTTTTCTTAAATAGTTGTGCAATTAGATATCAAAGATTAAATTCTCCCCATTCATGTATTGTAATGGATGTGTTTTCGATATAGGAAAAGGTGAATGTAAAGGCAAACACCGCGCTTGTTTATTGTTGAAACAAAATCAGGTCTATCAGACGCGGTGCACTAATGATTTATGGGTTCAGACCCTTACCGTGCACCTCAATAAATTCCGTATTTTAGTTTTTCTACTTTTAACAATTTCGTTTTTCTTTATGTAATAATTTCGTTTTTCTTTATATATTAATTCCGTTTTCTTATATTAATTTCGTTTTTCTTTATATATTAATTCCGTTTTTCTTCATATATTTTTGGTTTTTCTTTATACATGTATATTTTTGGTTTTCCTTTATATATTTTTGGTTTTCCTTTATATATTTTTGGTTTTCCTTTATATATTTTTGGTTTTCCTTTATATATTAATTCCGTTTTTCTTTATATATTTTTGGTTTGCACTAATGGGCTTCCGTACTTTACGGTATATAGCATCCTAAAAAGTAAGTTATCTTGAAAACAGCTGATAAATAATATTTTTTCCACAAAATGAAATTTAAAAAAGAGCAAAATCTGTTAATTATAAAGGATTTATAAACGATGTTACCCGATGGATGTTTTTGGCAGCCGTAAATGTGGTGACAATCATGTTCTGTACAATTGCATATAAGGCCACAATGTTTACCGTAGTGTCCGCTTGGACAGGATGCATTGCAATCTGAACCATAATATCCGTCTTTACACGCTTTTGTAAAAGATTTCTTTGGAATCATATGTCTTACTTTTACAATGAACCATCCATTTAAAATGTATAAACAAATATTAAGCTATCACTGTTAATATATCTGAGATTTGATATCTGTACTTACAAACACATTTTTCTAGTCTATAGTCCCATTCATGTCCGTAGTAACATTTCAATCTCCCTTCTCTAAAATTTCACACAAGCAAATAACAATAAAAACTAGACCTTATTTTTGTCGTTCAACAAAAACGGAGGGCTTTTCGACCCCTTAAAATAAGTAATCTTAAAAAAACAATATTTTACAATTAAAAAAAAATTTATAATAAAATATTGCAAAAGTTCTTTTGAGGTCAATGTTTGATTGCAAACATAACAATTTTCATTGTACGTCAGTGTCTACTCAAAGAGACATAACTCTTTCGTGGTTATAAAACAGATTCGAAAATGTACTGATTTTCAATCCACTAAAACTCCTATAAGGGGTCAAAAAGTCACCCCACGGCCCATAATTTTTAAAATGTACTCTTTATACTTCATGTAGTGTCAAAATTATTTTGAATATTGGTTGAGAATTAAACACGTTACAGAGAAAAAGGTGTTTTCTGTACTGACCCCTAAAATCCTTTCTATTTTAGGGATTTTTATTTTCATGACCTTAGCATCTGGAGACAATGAGAGAGACATTATTCATATGAAATTTAACAAGAATTGCTTGCCTACCTTTTGAGATAATGGAACAAACATCATTTCAAATTTAAGGAAAGGATTGCACGGGTCCGTGAAATTTTTCTGCCCAATGAATTTTTCTCATTTTTACATATAATGTTCCTAATGTCAATGATACCATTATATCAAAGTATCAAGCATGGTCATCAGGCTTATAAGGAAGTTATGGTTGCCATGGTAACCACCATTTTTCATTCTTTTGATATCTATGAGGTGAATGTTTTATAATGCCATACACGCAACAAAATTGAAGCAAATTAAATATTTTACAGCAGATATTCTTTAATATGCTTTATATTTATTGAAAATAAAAATTGTTTCGGAAACTATTGATAAATGTAGTAATGACGTTGTTTTTTGGGGAAGTAATCATTGTAAATTTGCAGCAATATTTTCACCTCAATAGCAGTTTTTAACGTCTAGACAAAAAATTATCCAATGAATTTTCCCAAAACTAATATATGCTGTACTAGTCATTATAAGTGACTTATGGTTAAAATATGAAGTAAGGTAATCAGATTAATTTTGAAGCTACACGCATTTCAGTACCCCCCCCCCTTCCTAGAATATTAAATCATTTCACAGATTTTCATATGATGGTTTGTTGTTGGACCTTAAATATGCATAATCCGTCTAAAGACAAAAAAGGTCATATGTATAGATAAATAAATATTACATGTCTTTTCTTCTCTGAAAATCTGGCAGCTGATGCCCATTTTATATGTGAAGCACAATGATTTACTTATCACCGACAGTGGTCACGAAAATAAACTTTTTTTAAACTCAGTTTTTCATCTCCGAGACATTCATTTTGTTACTATATCAGTATAAATAAATAATACATTATAAACCAGTGCACAGTCCTCAAAGGCCTTATACTTCATGCTTTAGAACACTCAGCGATGTTTCTTCTTAGTGGCCTGTAATGGGAGGGGGGGGGGGGGTTCAGACATTTGAACACATTGAATGATAAGAAGTTATTTTGTAAAACTTGTAACTGCATTCAATTTTTTTAAAATAAATGTATTCATCCATAAATAATAATTGGCCAAATTACAATAATTCTAAATATTCACATTTATTTACAAATAGTTTTCCTTCCGATTCTTTTCAAGTAAGTACTACTTCATTTTCTCCTGTACATGGATGATCGCTATCTCCACTGTGACGTCATAATGACACAATTGACGTCAAAACTATAGATCTACCTTTTTGATTAAAAAATAATCATTGATTGAAATAACTTTCCGTCGCTTTATGATATATGCTGGAGTAAAACTCAAACATCTATGTTCATGTGATAAAAAAAACCATTTTTCAAATGTATTCCCATAAGCATGATGAGTTCACATTTCTTTTATTTATTTAAGTACAAATCTTCCCTGGTATTCTTTCATCAGAAGTGTGTTGCTTTTCAATACGACGCATATTTATGTTTTAACATTTTATAACAATCGTTTAGAAAATA